CCGGAGCCCCTCCCAATCCCTGCTGGTCCCCCCGGTGAGTTTGTAAACAGCCACCAGATCCCCTTTCAGCCTGCTCTTGTGGAGGCTAAATAGGTTCAGGCCCTTTAGCCTCTCTTTGTAGGGCCTGGCCTGCTGCCCACTGACCCTGCGAGTGGCCCTCCCCTGGACCCTCTCAATGCCAGCCACATCCCTCTTGAAGTATGGCATCCAGAACTGGATGCAGTACTCCAACTGTGGTGTGACCAATGCCACATAGAGGGGAAAGATCACCTCCATGGACCTGCTTGTGATGCATCTGTAGAAGCACGACAAGGTGCGGTTAGCCTTACTGACTGCTTCCTCACATTGGTGGCTCATGTTCAACCTGGAGTCAACAATGACTCCAAGATCCCTTTCTGCCACTGTGTTGAGAAGAAGGGTGTTCCCCAACCTATAGGTGTGTTGCTGGGTCCTTCTCCCTAGATGCAGTACCTTGCACTTGTCTGCATTGAATGCCATCATCCACCCACCTCTGTAACTTGTCTAGATATAGCTGGATTCTGTCCCTCCCCTCCACCATGCCCACCTTGCCCCACAACTTGGTGCCATCAGTGAATTTGGACAGTGTGCTTTCCACTCCCACATCCAGATCACTGATAAAGATGTTGAACAGTATAGGCCCCAGGACCGAGCCCTGGGGGACTCCACTGCCCACATCCCTTCAGGTCGAAAACAACCTGTCTACCACTACTCTCTGGGTGTGACCATCTAGCCAGTTTGCCACCCATCTCACTGTGTGGGCATCAATGCCGCAGTCACCTAGTTTGTTTAAGAGAATGCGGTGGGAAACCATGTCAAAGGCCTTCTTAAAGTCCAGGAAGACGACATCCGCCACAACACCTTTGTCCAGGGACTTTGTGACCTGAACATAAAAAGAAACCAGGTTCGTCAGGCAGGATCTGCCCTCAATGAACCCATGTTGGTTGCCCCTGAGCATTATCTCCCCTGCTGAGCCTTTGCAGATGTGCTTCTTGATAATTTTATCAAAGGTCTTCCCAAGGACTGAGGTAAGACTGACTGGCCTATAGTTACCCAGGTCCTCCTTTCTCCCCTTCTTGGAAATGGGGACCATATTGGCCCTTTTCCAATCCTCTGGTACCAGGCCAGTGCCCCATGAGCGCTCATATTGCCGTGCCAGGGGCCCCACTATGACCCCTGCCAATTCCCTCAGCACCCTTGAGTGAAGAGCATCTGGACCTACTGATTTAAACACATCCAGCCCCTCCAAAAGTTCCCTAGCTAGGTCATCCCTGACCCTAGGCATGGCGGCACCTCTTATTAACTTCTAGCATGTCTCCCATCTAAAATAAACATTCCTGGTTTGTATAGTTTTTCAAAATATTTCTTTAAATAAATTTATTTCTACGCCTCTATTTGTGTTGATCATTTCTATTACTAGTATGCAGTTTTTAAATAGGATCACAAAGCTGAACACAGTATTTGAGATATGAAATGTCAAAATTATGTAACAGTTTTGTATTTTCAGAATTATTTTCTGGTGTTTTTGTATACTAGCTAATATCTTATTTCCCCTTTTGAGTGCTGCCATGCACTGGAGCAGATGCAAATTTCAAGCTTTCCATAATGAAAGTTAAAGGCTTGACTTGTTTCTATCTTCAAACTTGCATATCCACTGGCAGGAGTTCTGTGCTAGAGCAATCCTTAACTTCTGCATTTCCAGACTTACTTTAAATAGGTACTTATTTTAAAATTTGAACTGTGCATTGGTGGCTAGATTCTCACGCAGCTCCAAACAGAACACTTCAGTTAAAATAGAAATCATGTTTCTTCTAATGGGTCACAGGAATTGTCGTGGGAATCCCTGAGGAGATCTAAAGGATAGACACCAGAGAATCTGCCACTTTCTACAGAAGGGATAGGCAACGTTTTTTGGCCGGAGTGCTGAGAAAACCACAATGTCTACCTTGGAAGGTGCCAGAGCGCCGGCATGCCAGAAAAACAAAAAGGGGGGGAGGGGTGTACATGGCAGGACGGACTGCATATTAGTATATTTAATAATCATAAATGTTGCCTTTGTTGTTGTGTATTCCTTTTTTGTTGAGTATGTTGGAATGCGAGAGACAGAGAGAGACAAATAAGAGAAAGAGGGGAGGGGGAGAGAGAGAGAGAGAGAGAGAGAGAGAACAGAGAGAGAACCAGACACACGCACACAGAGAACCATGTGTACAAACACAGAGAACCAAAACACACCCATAACAGACACATGCACACACACATCCAGAACCAGACACATGTGTGTGCACACAGGCACACAGGACCAGACAGAGAAAGACAAACACACAGAACCCAGCTGGGCTCCTGGGCCACTGGACAAATTCTGCTCTGAGGCGCACGTGTACCCGCCAGTATGGAGCTAATGCTGGAGCTCAGAGAATATGTTTGCAACCTCCCAGCTGCAGCCGGCCCAGGCTCTGGGTAGCTGTTGCCAACCACGTCAGGGCTTGCAGCCTCCCAGCCACCTGCTGGGAGCAGCCCGGGCTTTGTGGCTGGCAGCAGCTGCCTAGAGCCCAGGCTGGCGGTGGCATGCCGAGCAAAATGGCATTGCGTGGCGTGCTTGGCACACATGCCGGGGGCTGCTGACCCCTGTTCTACAGTCTGCAAGCATGAAGTTAAGATGATTTCTGACTTCCATTGAAATCAATATTGAGACTGACCGACCCAAATCAGGAAGTCAATATATTATTGCAAACATCCATTTGTGCTGTAGTCCCAACCCTTAGGTCTGAATCCTATTCTGCCTACTAGATATTAAACCTGTACAGCTAGCTACCTACCCCCAAAGTACACAGCACACTTCAGATAAGTCATCTTGTTTCACCCTATGAAGGTGCTTGGCTTTCCCTTTTTAGCAATGGGCAACCTTAAGTAACTCCAGAATGTAAAAGTCCTGGGGTAGCCAGGCAGCAGGCAGCTGCCATGAGATGCAGGGAGCAATTTGTTCCATATCCTTGTTAATGATATAGCTAGGGGAGACCCCTATGCATCAGTGATTCAGAAAACAAAAAGAGCTCACTCAAAAACAGCTCTGAAGAGATACTGGAAGCTTCTCCACCCTGGAAAGGAGAGGGCACCTACTCCACTAACTGAAATGCAAAGCCAAGACACACAGGTACACCCTTCCCTTTCTAGGAATCCCCCATCATTGTCCTCTCCATATCTCTGTGGACAAGTGAATGTATGGCTTGTGGCACTGGACTCAGGCACACAAGCAACATACTCTACAGATCATCAAGTGAACAATGTGCCTTAACTCAAAGAAGAAACATGGGATCACTCAGACACAGGAGAAGGTGCAGCGGCTGAATTAGAAGAGGGGAGCAGAGGAGGCAGAAGCAGCAGCACTACACCCAGCATTCTTGCTTGGTTTTCTTCTTCCCTTCCACAGGCTGAATGGGAACAGGAGCCCCAGTCAGGGAACATTCTCCCAGATGTATCCCTCAGTCACATACTGAACAATGCCAAATATGCCCTTTATCTCATGGGTAACTGCCACTCATTTAGCTATGCCTTGCAGCTATTCAAGTGGTTACTGTCCTCACACTTCCATATTCATGGAAAGGCAGGGATTCTCTCCACTG